AGAGTTGGACAGCGAGGAGGCTGGGGAGGAACCTGGGCCAGTCCTGGAGGCTGAGGAAGGCTCAGACAAGGGCTCTGCGTCAGAGGCAGAGATGAGGCCAGGGCAGTCTGGCAGCTATCAGCTGTCTTCATAGTTGGGCGGCAGTGAGGCGGGGGAGCAGCTGGAGCCTGTTCCCAGCCTGCGCATGGGCAGAGCTGCCAAAAGAAAAGAACAATTATGAACTAAGGGTCAACGTGGGAGTAAATCCACAGGTGGACAGTGAATGGCCCCTCCCATAGGGATTAAAAGAGGAGCAAAAGGAGAGGGGGCTTGTGCAGGAAACAATTCGTTCGTTGCAGCAGTGTGAAGATCTGTCTGTGCATCTCAGAGACGCTGTGTGAGTCCTTCCTTGTCAGCACTGCGTTTGAAAATATTTACTTGGCAGCTCTCCAAGCTAGATAAGGTCTGTGCTGGTTTTGCCGGGACAAAGAGTCTGCTTAGTGCTTTTTGGAGAAGTCTAGGTCAGAACACAGTGACAGATACTCACATGGAGGTTTTTGTTTTTTTTAATCCCTCAACCAACATTCCTGATCAAAAATGAGGTCTTTTGAAATGATGCTGTGTGCCTGCTCGTATCTCTTGATTGAAGTCATAAACCTTACTCCGTGGCTCCTTAAGGGCAATTGTTTATGTTCGTATGGTATACATTTTGAAAGAAGCAGCTTTCTCAGTTGTATGTTAGCTTTTGCCATTGGGAAGATAAAGTAGGAAATAAATCATTATAAGACTGCTGTATTTAGGCAGACAGACTATACTTCTTTTGGTTGCTCTGTGTATGATTGGGAAGAGCAATTTGCAGAGGATGACATAGCAGCCTCGTGCATTTACAAGTAAATGTGTGATCAACCCAGATATATTGGGTTTTTCCCATGTACACTTTGTCTAAAATTATGCATTTTGTTCTTGCAAACTAATACAGTATTCATACAAAATGGTTAAAGTGGGTTTTCAGCTTTGTGCCAATGTGATGGCATGTAGAAACAAACCTTTTCTTTTAAACTGCAGAAGTTCTCTTCCTTGTTCCTTTTGGAAGTTTTAGGTTCCATTTGCAAATTTACCTGTGTAGAAATCAACGCAATAAACTATTTTTTATTGACTCAAAGACAAGGTTGTCAAAAAGCGAACCATTTCCTGAGAACCACACAGCCCGGTTCCAAGTGGGCACACCTCTATGATTTTAGTCTTCCTGTAGCCTGGCTCTGTTGTGGGACTAATTTGTTTATTTGGCTCCAAACAAGATTAATTAGAGGAATTAGGGCTAATTAAAACCTCATTTTTCTTATAGCTGTTATGATGTCCTTTTGAAGGCTGGCATCGCTTCCAAAATCTGCTGTAGTTTATTGCACTTCCGTGTCTTTATGAGCTTGGTTTCCTTATCTTTAAATTTACAAAGGAATATATACAGTTTTAAAAGTGTGGCAAGGCACAAATCTGGATCTCATACCCAGATTATAAGGCTCATTACTGGAATAAATAGGGGAACAGTCTTTCCGATCCTGGTGAGAAGGATGTTGCTGTTATTTATGAATTATTTTCTTTACAATGGGTCAAAGAAAGGTGTGGAACTCTCTAGCCTCACCCTGGTGAGAATACAAGTAGGTCTCAATGCAATTAACAAACCCTACAAAATGATCGATTATTCAAATTTCCACTATTCAAAGTAGTGTTTCTATGAAAAATATGATAATGGATTTCAGCCTCGATAGAAATAGGTAATAAAAATTTTAGACATGATTTCTATGCGTGTATTAATGAAATATTACCATAAAGGATAAAAAGATATACTTCAATTTATGTTAACCAAAATTGCAATGTATTCCTAGAAAGCAAAATATCATTCCTATAAATAATCTGACAATGATAAAAATATCTCTCAATCTTGTAGATGTTTGCAAACCACAAAAAGCAGATGCAATTTTAACTTTTTCTTTAATTCTCCCTGCTTTTTTTTTTTACTGTACTGTGCATGGTACAGGTGAAACTTGAAAAATTAGAATATCGTGCAAAAGTTCATTTATTTCAGTAACGCAACTTAAAAGGTGAAACTAATATATGAGATAGACTCAGTACATGCAAAGTAAGATAGTTCAAGCCGTGATTTGTCATAATTGTGTTGATGATGGCTTACAGCTCATGAAAACCCCAAATCCACAATCTCAGAAAATTAGAATATTGTGAAAAGGTTCAATATTCTAGGTTCAAAGCATCCCACTCTAATCAGCTAATTAAGCCATAATACCTGCAAAGGGTTCCTGAGTCTTTAAATGGTCTCTCAGTCTGGTTCAGTAGGAATCACAATCATGGGAAAGACTGCTGACCTGACAGTTGTGCAGAAACCCATCATTGACACTCTCCATAAGGAGGGAAAGCCTCAAAAGGTAATTGCAAAAGAAGTTGGATGTTCCCAAAGTGCTGTATCAAAACACATTAATAGAAAGTTATGTGGAAGGGAAAAGTGTGGAAGAAAAAGGTGCACAAGCAGCAGGGATGACCGCAGCCTGTAGAGGATTGTCAGGAAAAGGCCATTCAAAAGCGTTGGGGACTTCCACAAGGAATGGACTGAGGCTGGAGTCAGTGCATCAAGAGCCACCACACACAGACTGATCCTGCACATGGGCTTCAAATGTCGTATTCCTCTTGTCAAGCCGCTCCTGAACAACAAACAACGTCAGAAGCATCTTACCTGGGCTAAAGAAAAACAGACCTGGTCTGTTGCTCAGTGGTCCAAAGTCCTCTTTTCTGATGAGAGCAACTTTTGCATCTCATTTGGAAACCAAGGATCCAGAGTCTGGAGGAAGAATGGAGAGGCACACGCTGCAAGATGCTTGAAGTCCAGTGTGAAGTTTCCACAGTCTGTGTTGATTTGGGGAGCCATGTCATCTGCTGGTGTTGGTCCACTGTGTTTCATTAAGTCCAGGGTCAATGCAGCCGTCTACCAGGAGATTTTGGAGCACTTCATGCTTCCTTCCGCAGATGAGCTTTATGGAGATGCTGACTTCATTTTCCAGCAGGACTTGGCACCTGCCCACACTGCCAAAAGCACCAAAACCTGGTTCAATGACCATGGGATTACTGTACTTGATTGGCCAGCAAACTCTCCTGACCTGAACCCCATAGAGAATCTATGGGGCATTGCCAAGAGAAAGATGAGAGACATGAGACCGAACAATGCAGAAGAGCTGAAGGCCGCTATTGAAGCATCCTGGTCTTCCATAACACCTCAGCAGTGCCACAGGCTGATAGCTTCCATGCCAGGCTGCATTGAGGCAGTAATTGCTGCAAAAGGGGCCCAAACCAAGTACTGAGTACATATGCATTCTTATACTTTTCAGAGGTCCGATATTGTTCTATGTACAATCCTTGTTTTATTGATTGCATGTAATAATCTAATTTTCTGAGATTGTGGATTTGGGGTTTTCATGAGCTGTAAGCCATAATCATCACAATTATGACAAATCACGGCTTGAACTATCTTGCTTTGCATAAAATGAGTCTATCTCATATATTAGTTTCACCTTTTTAAGTTGCATTACCGAAATAAATGAACTTTTGCACGATATTCTAATTTTTCAAGTTTCACCTGTAGATGTAGACATTCCAAAATCTCAACCTATTTTAGCATTGCTATAATCATGTTCCTATCATTCAATTAAATGAGAATGTTCCTCTAATGTAATAATAAGCCTCTTCTTTTTTGAGCTTGTACTGTTTTCCTTTGACAGAATGTTCTTTTTCTCCATTTTACACACAGATGAAGATGAAAATATCTAAAACTGCAATTGCACATGTGCTATCTCAATTGCATACAGGCTAGCCTCAGACTTAACTGAAATTTGGATTGTCTTAAACGGGACCTCGTATCCATTTTCAATCTGCACTAAATCAAATATCCTGTTATTCGAATGTATACTAATCACAACTTATCAGTGTACATAAATATTCAAAATATCATAACCTTCCAAGTCTTTCTTTCTTTTTCCTCTTTTTTTCTCTTTCTTGCTCTGTATAGTTGTTTCTGTCTATCTGTCTGTATAGTGTTTACTAAGAAAAGATTTTACACTGAATTAAAAGGCTACAGAAACATAAAAAGTAGAAAAACTATGTGAAAGAATAAAAGTGGAAGTGAAAATGTAAGAAAATGAAAAAAAATTAAAAGGTACTTGGGTCTCCTTTGTAACAGTTACAAGCATAATATTACCATTTCCATTCTCCCAAATTATATATCAAGGTCCCCTTCTTCCATAAACAGTCCTTTGTAACCAATGAATCCTGAAATCACCGCTTCATTTTTTGTTTTTTGTTTTTTAGCAAAAACTCCATAAAGAGTTTACAAAATTATTGTTCTTTCCTTAAATCAAAAGCTCTGGGTGCTCTTCCGGTATTGGCCATAGAGCCAGTAACTAAATCCTGCCATGTCCATAGCACATTCAATAGAACAAAATTAGAATTTCCAGTGCCTGTTGAAAAGTGTTTCCTTAGAATTTAGTGGCATTTGTATAGCTAGGATCTACGATGGCTATTTTTGTACACTGAATGGATCAGGATTGAGACAGTGTTTTTCCCAACCATGACAGCTGAAGAGTTTGTTTGTTTGTTTTACCCCATACATTACTAAGTGGATGGCTTAGCATTGTAAAAAGATGGTGCCATAGAACATGACGATGATGTTAACCATCAGTCGTGTCCAACTGTTGACGATTCTATAGGCCAAGTCTCTCTACAAAGATCTTTCCATCTTGCACTGCTTCTTTGAGTCTGTCTATGCTCAGGCTGTGTCAAGCTTTGATAGGTTTGATAGTGTCCCACCACTGTGTTCTTTGACGGCCTGGTTTCCTTTTAGTGCTTCCATAGAACATACTTCAAAATATAGTAAGAAGGCTCTCTGTTTGGGAAAGAGTTTGGTGGCACTCATAATCATCCTTCTGGTTTTTCTGGCTTTTGTCTCCCTGTATGCTTCTCAGGTTTGGAAGAAGATGGTGAGATCCCACAGATCAACTGAAGCTTTGAGAAGAGTGCAACTTTGATGAAGGAGTAATTGCTGGACATCAGCCGTGATGAGGCTACTCCGAAGGCATTATGGCCCACTAAAGCTAGCTTTGGTGGGCATTGTCTTTGTAATCTTCCTTTTCATAATGCAAAGAGATGTGAGCAGTGGGGAACAAAAGGAGGAGCCATGGCTGAAAAATATTGTGGAGAGAAAAGACCAGATGATAGATATAATGATGGGAGCTGTCAACAATATCCGTGACTCTATGCCAAAGCTGCAGATCCGGGCACCAGCTCAACAAGAGGCCCCTGAGCAGGACAGCAAGTCTTGCTTGCCAGGCTATTATACACCAGCAGAACTGAAGTCCTTCATGGAGCGTCCACCCCAGGACCCCAATAGCCCTGGTGCTGATGGAAAAGCTTTTAAGAAGGACCAGTGGACACAAGAAGAGACAAAGGAGAAAGACCATGGCTATGAGAAGCACTGTTTTAATGCCTATGCCAGTGACCGCATTTCTCTTCAGAGGGCCCTTGGACCTGACAGCAGGCCTCCAGAGTAAGGTTCCCCCCCCTCCTCTCTCCTTCCTGTAGAAATAATGCTTCAAAGCAACCCAGGATAACTGTAAGCAACCATTTGCTTTATCACATTGGGCATGCAATCATATGGGAAATGAGCTATTTGCTAATACCTGCCACCCAGGTATTATTTGGTTTTTTTTTTATTTAGGTAGCAAGATATAATAAAATCATGGTATGTCCATGTTAGGGGACGTGGTGGCTCAGTGGCTGAGCTTGTCAATCAGAAAGGTTGGCAGTTTGGCAGTTTGAATCCCTGGCGCTGCGTAACGGAGTGAGCTCCCGTTACTTGTCCCAGCTTCTGCCAACCTAGCAGTTCGAAAGCATGTAAAAAATGCAAGTAGAAAAATAGGGACCACTTTGGTGGGAAGGGAGCAGAGTTCCGTGCGCCTTTGGTGTTTAGTCATGCCAGCCACATGACCACGGAGACGTCTTCGGACAGCGCTGGCTCTTTGGCTTTGGAACAGAGATGAGCACTGCCCCCTAGAGTCGGAAATGACTAGCACGTATGTGCGAGGGGAACCTTTACCTTTACCTATGTCCATGTTAATCAGTACTTGCTGCCCATATGTTTGCATGCCCGGTGGAATAAGCTTTCAGCTTTATATTTGTGGAATGAATTTTATGGGAATATTGATTAAGATGGTGTTCCTGGACATTCTGGTTAACTCTCTAGCCTTTGAGTGAAGAACACCTTTTAGATGTTAATTAAAACCCCTCTCTGTCTGAATCCTTGCAAACATTCACCATTTCTTAAATACAGAGAGTTTGCTTTTATGTGTACATACTATGTTTAGTTAAGATGGGTGGATAGGCAGGTTTACAGAGAAAAATGGTCTGGTTAATTCCTTTTAAAGCATCTACATTTCTGGTATTGATGTGCATAAAGAGAATGCTTCCTGTTTTGCAGAGCATCTTGTTCCCTTGGAAGAGTAAGAGTGTTACTCCTGTGGATACTAACTCAGATGATGGGAAATTTGCAGCCCTCCAGATGCTATTCAGATACAACTCCCAGCAGCCTCAGTCAGCATGAGCAATAGTGAAGGATGCTGAGGGTTGTAATTGAGCAACATCTGGAGGATCTGAAGTATTTCACCTGATTTATAGATAAAACACCACAGTTTTTTTATCTCAAGTTAAATGATCTTATAGATAAGATTGCAGATTTAATCAGGAGAATGTCATGTTTCTCAGGCCATATTTTAGATCAAATCATGACTTCATTACCAAAAAGGCATTTATTTGCTTATTTATTTGCAGGAAGTTCTAGCTCATAAGTCAGGATAGAAACATTTAATACAACATCAACAACCTTTGCCTATTTCAGATACTTGGGAAAGACTTGACAGATGGATAAAAATGTGACATTCACTCTAGCTGACTCTGCAGTGTACCATAATAATGACATAATATAATAATAACATAATAACAATATGAAATATCTGGACTTGCAGTTCGATCAAAGTTAGCTTATGTAAAATGAATCTGTTATAACCATTGTGATCAGAGCCCTTGCTGCGATATTTAAAGAACTTCTTCAGTATCTGGAAATACTGAATTTATCAGACACGAACACCCTAATTTTACAATAAATAAATAAATAAACCACCCTGCTTGGAACTTCAACACTAGCTTAATAATTCTTAGGTCCTTGGTTAGGATTTGAATTATCAGATTTCCACCAGTCTTACATTGAATGTAACTATAGATTACCCCACATATAATTTTGTTATGGCCATAATGCAGCCGGCACTTTATGGTCGTAATCGTGATGGTTGTTAAGCAGATCATTACATGATCGACCTGATTTTACAACCTGTTTTTTGCTGCAGTCATTCAATAAACCCATTTTTAGCTATGGGGAATTTTTGCCAAAACCTGGAAATGAACGCCAGTTGTCTGTAAAAAAAAAAATAATACAGCAAATTACAGTCATGTGACTGTGGGACACAGTAAATGGCTGTGAATGCAATCACATTACTGGGGAAAGGGAGGCATCAGACGTTCAGAACAAGTGCCTTTTTATGGGTCCATTGTAACTTTGAATGGTTATTAAATGCTGAGTCATAAATCAAGCACTACCTCTAATAATAACATTG